GCTTGAGACTACAAAGCTCCTAAGCACCGGTCGCTGGGATGGTGGTGTCCAATCGAGGCGTGGTCAATTGGGATCACCCCATAGAAACTGTGGTAGGGGAATATGAACATATAACGCGAACAAACCCTATATTTTGATATACATTTTTCTATGTTTCTTCATTATTTTTTTTTTATAGATGATGTTACCTTTAACTCTGAGGAAATTGCTGTCGATTTCCTTCCTTGAGGCATATATGGCATTAAATTTAGACATAATTGCATTACCGCTTCCCTAGACAATCTACAAATACATTTGGATAATTATTATTATAATGCAACAGTTATACATTAATGAGTATATAATAGCATATTATAACATTTAGGTTAGAAATCAGTTAGTGTTTGCTAGGATTATACCTATATATTTCTCGAAATCTTTTTTCTGGAATATCGAAAGGATTTTGCGTGTCCCGTAAAATTTTTCGAATGATACGTAATCCGTTATTTCTATTTCTTCTATCTTCGTCTAGATTAATTATAAACCATGCAGCAGCCATTTTTATTTCACATTTTACGTGACATTTTCATTTTTCACAAGTTCACATAAAATTTTTCACTTTTCACAATTCACGCTAGGGAAAAAGTTTCATGATCGGTATCGTGGGTACCGATATGGTACGGTTTGGTATACGGGTAGCATAGGCAATTCCCCTTCCAGTAGTATATGTTCTAAGCTAGCAGTCCAGTTGTATATAGTCAAAGTTTGTATATAGTCAAAGTTGCGTATACGCAAGTAACAAGTTGCGAATGCTCGCAACGAAAAATCCCTAGGTTTCTATTCTCGAAATAATTACGTATACGCAAATATCAAGTTGCGAGTAATCGTAACAGAAAATCTCTAGAGCAGTAAGAAAAACAAATTAGGTCAAACGTAGTTCAATATTAAAACAACAAGAATTGGATAAAAGGCATACAACTACGAACGCAAGATATTAGTCGCGAATAAATATATATTTAATGATTAAAAATACATATAGATGTTTCGGTATCAATTAGACCATCCTCAGTAATACAAAAGTAACCTCAAATGAGAACTTAAATAATTATAAAAATCCGCAAGAATTAAAAGTCAATTTTAATTTTCTTCACCAAGAACTTTTAATTTTAATTTTCTTCACCAAGAACTTCACCAAAAAAATTTTCTTCACCAAGAACTTTTAATTTGCGTTGACGAATTTATATATTTATTGACTTTTAATTCTTGCGGATTTTTATAATTATTTATGTTCTCATTTGAGGTTACTTTTGTATTACTGAGGATGGTCTAATTGAGACCGAAACGTCTATATGTATTTTTAATCATTAAATATATATTCATTCGCGACTAATATCTTGCGTTCGTAGTTGTATGCCTTTTATCCAATTCTTGCTAGAGCAGTATTCTCGACACTCGTAAGTACTGTCGTATAGGCAATATTACTATGTTTACACGGCACGCTTTACGCCGAAGTTACAACATCGATGTTATGAAACTGGTCAATAACAGTCATTCCATTCTTCAGAGGAATAGCTATGATTGGCCAGTTTTATAACATCGATGTTATAACTTCGGCGTAAAGCATGCCGTGTAAACGTAATAATTCGTAATGCAACGATTGGGTTACCCCATACTTTTCTCTCGAAACGTATACGTTAATTACCTTAAAGTCTTGCAAGACGTGCATCTGGCCTTGCCGACATGATCGGACGTGTTATTGCGTTATCATTTTTGGAAAGTGTGACCGGCTTCAAACGCGCAATTTGAGTTTATGTTACTCTTTTAGACTTTCGTATTCTGCATATTGTTTTTGTTACTCACCGCATAAGCAGCATTTTCGATTCTGGCCGTATCGACTCTGTGTTACGAGTCGGGGCCATTCTCACGCGAAGAAGAAGAGGAAGAAGTTAATTACCTTATATCATTATGCGGTCCGCTCAGTTTCAGCCTTTGGGATAATATTTTGGAAGAAGAAGAAGAGAGACTGCGTTGAAGAGACGAGGTGAGTAATGTTAATGTATGTGTACATCTTAATAGTTAATAAATAAATATATATATACTCTGAAATAACACAAATCAAACAATAAAATACACTATAAATCTTACTTCAGAAAAGTTTTGCAACCTCTCATCACAGTGAATTATACCCTGCTCTCAATCATTGTTATATTTTTTTACACATACTACATATTACGAATGTACAATTGAAAATATTACATTTTTATATTAATTTTTATATTAAAATATTTTTGTTTGTAGGTGATTCAGGATATTCCTTAAGACCATGGATGATGGCTCCTATAATAGATGCACCAGAAAATAGCCCAGAAGCAGCATATAATAAGAAGCAAATGAAAGTCCGCTCGTTAATAAAGCAATGTAATGGCCTGCTAAAAATGCATTTTAGATGTTTATTAAAGCATAGGGTATTGCATTATTCTCCACCAACAGCATCAAAAATTATATATACGTGTGCTGTATTGCATAATATATGTATCAGCAAAAATGTGCCAATGCCATTAGATTTAAATGACGATATTGAAGAATTTGATTTTGGAATTAATGTTTATACAAATAACTATGAAGAAAATAATGTGTCTGAAATGAATATTCGTAGAATCAATCCAGATTTAGCAGCTGGTAGATTAAAACAGCGACAGATAATAAGAAATTATTTTTCTTAAGTGATAATAAAAATTAGTTAAACTATTTTGTTTCAATTATATATTTATACGTATATTTTAATATATTTTTGTCATGTGTATATACACATATATATAATTTTGTACTAATGTATTTAATAATAACATATTCAATTCTCTCACGCTTGATTGCGCCAATATTATTTTCTGTCTCTCTTTCTTTCTCTCTCGACCTAAAAAAAAAAGAAAAAGTTCTAAGTCTCGCTGAAAGCCTAAATAACTGGTGCAATTGCGCCTCAATATTTTATATAAATGCGAATAATTTCATTTTGTGTTTCGATTACAATAATTGAGGGCTATGATAAAAATAAACATTTAAAAATTCTTGGTTTTAAACATTTATTTTCGTACTGATATACATTAAAATTTAATATGCGATAAATTTTCGGATTGTTTATATATTATTCCAAATAACATATTTTCGAATCTCAACATATAAATAAAACAAATAACATACTCTATTCCCAATACACTGAAAGGTTTTATTAAGCGAGGAAAAGACAATCTTGAACATTTGTCCAACCAAAATGTGGTATATAAAATCTCATGTGATGA